CCACTGATGAGAAAAAAAAATGACACATGGTCTTAACCATCCTCTCTTTTATGCCCAGAATCCAGCCCCTCTCTGACGCACTGGGCAGTCTTCACAAGGAGTTCAAGGCCCTGAAGGAGAACCTGGTGAAGCTCACCAATAAGCTCGACAAGGTGGAGGCTGTTGTCGACGACATCCAGGCAGGCAATGCCCCCTGGGCCAGCCGTGTCACACGGCCTGTACCCCTTCGTATTAGAGGGGGTGCCTTCATAAACACCCCCCCAGTAGACTGGCAAGGGCATAGCAGCAGGCTTCCAACACAAAATATAAGAAGGCTGAAGAATCCTCAGGATTGACTTGGTGTCTCTGCTTCCCCACCCCCGCCCAGATAAGCAGCAGGTATTCTGTAATGTGACCATCATGAATATGAGCGTCGATAACTATATTTCATAATGAATAATCCATAATAGAGTCATGGTGGATCTGGTGCCTATTCCTGGAAGCTTACTTCACCCTTAATGGGACAAACAAAACCAGTTTTATTCATATACATGCTTGTAATACTTCTTTTATGTTTTTAACTACTGTTAGGTGTCTGCTTCTATTAGGTTTCATTGAATAGGGTCAAATATTGAATGCATGCAAAGAAGCAGATTTCTTGCTTCATACAAGCAGATTTTACAATTTACTACTACTCTCTTTCAGCTCTTATAAAGTGGCTACTGTTAGTATCTCTCTATTCAAAACTGGAACATTTATAGGTTTTACACAACCAAAGAATATGTAAGAATATATATATATATATATATATATATTATTATTATTATTATTTTATTTTTTTCCCCCCAGAAACTCTCAATTTGTAATAAACAAGACAACATTGCACAGCCCTTGTTTAAAGAGTTTGCTCAGTCTTCCTTCTAGGAACCAAATAAATTAATCCCCCTTCCCTACAGGTATTCTTTTACTACTTGCCAGCAGGGTAACACAAACAATTAATGAAATGCATTTCCATTGTGCAAATGTTTTATTTAAAAAATAGGCAACAATCTAAATCAATATATATAGATATATATATTAGGGCTGTCAAAATTAACGCGTTAACGCGGATTAATCCATCATCATGATTAATCTGATAAAAATTTTTAACGCAATTAACCCATCTGCAGTGCAGAATGATTCAAAATCCCTGAAATGTCTCTGTTAACCCATTTCGGGCAGTTTTAGTGCGTTCCATTTGCCCTCGAAACTCGTATTCGGAGTCGGATTCCGGATTTTTGAAGCCGGAAGTGACGACATGCGCTCCAGTTTCTCGGAGATCCGAGAAATATCTCGGAGCAGCACAGAGGATCCCGAGTTCAGAATCCTAGATGGCTGCGCCCTTTATCAACAGAAGGGAAAGTTTTAGTTTTATACTGTTTAAGCACTACTTCTCATTTGTGGCTCATTAAATCGGTCGCACACGCTATACCGTCCAACTTATTTGTGGATGTATTGCTACGGAGTTTTATATGTAAAGCACCGCACGTAATGTGTTATTAACTGATATTGCTAACAATGGCAATTAACCGGGCTAGAATTGGACATCATGATTAGTTGGATTATTTGTCGGATTTACGGTAGTTCGTGCTAATTGTAAGCGAACGAAGATAAAGACCATTTAAACTGAGGTACCTTAAATCCGACAAGTTGTCCGGCTAAGCAAAAAATCTTGCTTTTTGATATGGGTACATGGTATTGCACTTCTGTGGCAGATGGAATGCATCCAACTCATGTTCAAGATGTTCAATAAACATGTTAAGTGAATATATATTCCCTTTTTTCTTGAGTGTGTTTGCTCATGCAAAATTAAATGTGATTAATATAGATTAAAAATGAATGATATTTAATCGTGATTAATCGAAATTAATCCACAGCAACCCTGTGATTAATCTGATTAAAAATTTTAATCGTTTGACAGCACTAATATATATATATATATATACTGTATATGTAAACGATATTGATAGATTGAAATATTAATACAATGGCAGGCTGGAATTTTGGCTCATTTTTAAAAACAAAATAATAACGAAGATGCTGCTGCCAAACTTCGAAAACACTGGTTCTTCTCCATTTCTTCTTGGTCATCACATATGAAACTTAAGAACCTGGACCCGGGATGTGCCAGTTGCAAATTTGGCTTGGATCTGTTGTCCAGTACCTGTTTTTTACATTTCAGAAAGCGGCCGATATCTTCTGAAAAAAAATTAATAGGCCTAAAACGAACAAACCATATCTGCTGAAATGAGTACAAGCTTCGTATATTTGAAATCTTGCGTATTAAAAAATTCTTTTGGCAATGCATTATCATTTGATATAATGGTCATCACATATGAATTATTCCATAGGTGGTGACTGTGTAAAATGGCAATGATCTCTTATTACATTAACCAGTGGTCATTAAGAGCTGTATTGTCATTAGGAGAAGAAATTGAATACTCCACTTGTCGGTGGTCATATTTTAATAAGGACACGGAAGAAAGGCATCCTTGTAGTGCTGTTTGGCAGATGGCTCTCCAAAGCGGCCGTAATCGTATAGTGGTTAGTACTCTGCATTGTGGCCGCAGCAACCCCGGTTCGAATCCTGGTCACGGCAGGTATATCGCTCTCTCATATTGGGTTTCTAGGCGTTTACTTCCAAGTAAAGCCCGACCGATAAAGGATTTTGAAGGCCGATACCGATAGAAATATTTGTTGGTTTTAAAATCCGATATTCCGATATATCGGCCAATATATATATACTGTGTATATATATGTCAGGGGTCGGCAGGGAGGCGAGCAGGGAAGCAGCAGAGCAAGCCGTACTCACGGGTAATCAGGGGTTTATTAATTTAAGCAAGCGACAGACAAGCAGGGACATCCAACGTGACACTACAATGACGGATCTGGGGAAGACGGACTGAGACTCGGACTAAATACAAAACACTAAGCAAACGGAACAGGCAACAGGTGAGAATAATCAGGGAATCACACGAGGTAACGAGGTGGGCGTGGCACACATCGGGATCGAACGGAGCGGATCGTGACAAAATATATATATATATATATATATATATATATATTTTTTTTAAATTTCAGAAACGCGCAACAAAACATTAACTGATTTCCCTAACATTAGTTATTTGTACTTATTTATGAGTTTTAACTAACATAATATGATAATGCATTTTAAAAAGAAACTTGTTTCTTTTATTGTCACAACAGAACAGAGGAATCAAGAACTAACGTTCCCGTAACCAAAAACTAACGTTCCCAGAACGTTCTGGGAACCATAAATTGTTAGCTGGGTTATAAGCTACCTTATAATTACAATGTCAGCTTGCTTATCCCTTTACCTGCACTTTTTAAATTCTTTCCACCAAACTACATCAAACCATTTTCAATCATCAGTTGCTGCCTGCCTTCTAAAACCTACTATTTAGCGATAAAATCCATTATGTGACTCGTTAATGCTGCGGCTGAAAGACAGTCTGCAACGCACACTTGGTGTCATTGGATTTCACACACATGTAAAAGAAAATCTAACTTTTATGCGCAAG